CTTTACCAACTGAGCCATCTTTCCAGCCCACTTTTTTGGCATCTTTGGCCAAATCATTTGACTTTTTGTTTATAGCTGATCTTTAGGTTTTTCAGTTATGTCATTGACAGTTTTATTTCAAGGTCAACTCAGATTTATGAGATCCTGGGATGGCTTACTGCTGAGTGAGTCCTTGAGGGTGGGTAGCTTTTAACATCAGTTGTTTCATTCTTATTCCAAAACATAAAACCAAACATTTGAATAATTGTGCACTCAAATCTGAGAGGGTTAATTGAAAACCTGTAGGATTACTATGTGGTGCTGAGGCCTGCAATCTGCCCCAGAAACATGAGAAAGGAATTTGGCCTTTTGTTGTTCCTGCAGTGTGGCTGGAAAGAAATAAGGTTTTGTTATAAATTGACTTTCTAAAGTTTTGACATTTCAATGCAGTCTATTCAAAAATTAATATATTATGAATATATGCAACTGGACCAGGCCTGGTGGCAAACCCTTTTACTCCTATCACTCAGGTAGAAGCACAGACAGCTTTGTGAATTCAAGGTCAGCTTGGGTTATATAGTGGGTTCTAAGCCACCTAGGGCTACATAGTGAGATCCTGTCTTTAAGAAAAGAATAATCATGAATTTTTAGGGATTACCCTTCTATGAGATCCTTTTCCTTCTAGGATCACTTCTGACTCATCAAAACTTAGTTGAATAGGAGTGGACCACTAGCAAGAAGCTCATGTTGAAAAGATCCTTCTTCCAAGCATTAGGATTGTCTGATGTAAATCACAGAAAAGAAACCTGCCTTTCCACTCACTGACGCAAGGCCAATATTCTCTGCTACAATCAGTGATAGGATTAAAAAAGAAGCATATGGAAAGAAGTAGATTACAAGGAACAAAAGAGGAACTTTTATTGAGAATCGTGAAAGCTAGCGGTGCACATAACAGTTCAAGAAGAGATGATGTTTCAGGAAGTATTCAAAAGCTAGAAGAGACTGTGGCCACTTGAAGCAGTCAGACGTCTCTCTTATTCTGCTGACTGAATTTTCCATTCTATCCAAGCCCTTTAAAAAGTGGCATTAGCATTAATGTAAGACAAGACAGAAGACAGTAAGTAGCAGTCACTGAGATTGAAACTAGCCAGTGGCTAAAAATAGCAGCTTCACAGTAGCCACTCCTGGCCTTAGTCAGCCACTGTTGCAGCTCTGTGAGGTCCCTTTAAACAGACTGCAGGCTTCCTGAGGCAGTCCCCAATCACCTGCTGGGTGCAGATTGTTGGGTGCCAGTAGCAGCATATTTTCAAACCTCATATCAGTAATGAATCGGAGTCTTTAAAGGTTTGCAACTTTTCTTTGTACTTACAGAATGTTACAGTTTGATGTTCTTAACAGCTGCTGGCTTGAAAATTTAGGTGACAAATTTCTGACTTTTATGAACCTTGCTTATTATTTACCTTGATTATTTCATGAGACGTTATTTGATTTTATTAATGGTTCAAATTGTGGTTATCTCTTGATTGAATCATTGAAAATCTTGCATTTTTAAAGATAACCTTCCTCTCACTATTCATAGAGGGGGGGAACCCAGCAAAGTCTTTAAATATTCTTTAAATTATTAAATTATATCTTAAAATTATTAGGGGTCTCAACTCCTAGTAAGTTTACTGAAAATTTATATTCTAAAGACAAATTAAAAAGATTATTTTTGAGACAGGATTTCTTTTTTATTATTTTATTTAAATTAGTAACAAGCTTGCTTCACATGCCAATCCCAGCTCCTCCATGTGGAATGGGCTCCCAAAGTTCATTGGTGCCCCAGGGATAAATACTGGTCTACTACCCAAGGCCCCATAAATTGCCGAGGCTTCCTCACTGACACCCACGTACGTTCAGGGAGTGTGGATATGTCCCATGCTGGTCTCTCAGCCATCAGTCTGGGGTCCATGAGCTCCCCCTTGTTCAGGTCAGCTGTTTCTGTGGGTTTCACCAGCCTGGTCTTGACCCCTTTGCTCGTTACTCTTCTTTCTCTGCAATTGGGTTCCAGGAGTTCAGTTCAGTGTTTAGCTGTGGGTGACTGTCTCTGCTTCCATCAACCACTAGATGAAGGCTCTAGGATGGCATATGAGACAGTCATCAATCTCATTATTTAGGAAGGGTATTTAAGTTAGCCTCTCCACTATTGCTTAGATTGCCAGTTGGTGCCATCCTTGTACATCTCTGGAAATCTCCCTAGCACCTGATTGCTCCTCAAACAGATAATGGCTCCCTCTATTATGGTATCTCTCATCCTGCTCTTCTATTCTTCCCTGACTCAACTTGCCTGCTCCCAAATGTCTCCTCCTCTCCCCTCCTCTTCTTCCCTCTCTCTTTCTCCCAGTTCCCTCTCCCCTCCCCCATGCTCCCAGTTTGCTCAGGAGATCCTGTCCCATTCCCCTTCTCCGGGGTACTATGCATGAGACAGGATTTCTTTCTGGAACTAGCTTTGTAGACCAGGCTGACCTCAAACTCACAGTGGATACTCCTGCTTCTGCCTTCCAAGTTCTGGAATTAAAGACGTGTGCCATCACCGCCTGTCTAAAAATTTTTTTACTAGCTTTTATTTCTGAATATTTTTGACTTAGTTCGGGAAAGATTTCTACTGTATAATAATAATAAATATAATGTTATTCTATTTATGTGTATGTTGTGCGTGAGTGTGAGCCCATGCATTTAGGTGTGCACACCCTGTGGTGACAGGACCTGAGGACACTGTTGGGTGTTTTCCTCTGTGGCTCTCCACCTTCTTTCTCACTGAACGTGGAACTCACTATTTTGGGTAGGTTGACCTGTCAGCTCCAGAGACACCCCTCCCTACCTGGGGTTACCAAAGCTGCCACCATATTCAACAATGAACACGGCTCCTGGGGATTTGAACTCAGGTCCTCATGTTTGTACAGAAAGTACTTCCCACTGAGTGTTCTCTCAAACTCCTTTTGTTTTTTTTTTTGTTTTTGTTTTTTTTAATTATGTCTCACCCCTTTGTTGGCTTCTGCTTCTCCTTATAGTTGTTCCTAGTTATAAATTGGAATCACTAGGTTGTTCCACTGTGTCTTTAGTGCATTTTGTTTCACTTTCTCTTTTACTGTGCATCTGAGAAACATCATTTTGTCATTCAACCCTTTAACCTTGGCAAATAAAATTTTGAATGATTACAAGAACTTGCATTTTCCTATTCCAGTAGTTTCTTTTCCATAAGGGGTCTCTCTCTCTCTCTCTCTCTCTCTCTCTCTCTCTCTCTCTCGCTCTCTCGCTCTCTCTCCCTCTCTCTCTCTCTCTCTCTCTCTCGCTCTCTCGCTCTCTCTCCCTCTCTCTCTCTCTCTCTCTCTCTCGCTCTCTCGCTCTCTCTCCCTCTCTCTCTCTCTCTCTCTCTCTCTCTCTCTCTCTCTCTCTCTCTCTCTCTCTGTGTGTGTGTGTGTGTGTGTGTGTACACCCTACACATTCATGCAAGTTTGTCTGTACACAACATGTAGGTGTGTGGAGCTTGTGAGGTGAGTGTTTTAAGGATGAGACCATTCCTCCTAGTATTCATTTCTGTCATAGGCACTGTTACTTCTCTGTCGTTCTGCAAGGTAGATAATTTTTATGCTGTAACAGTTAGATTCTTGCCATTCTGATTTTTAGCTGGACACAAAGAAGTAATCCCAACACATGGAGGTAGAAGCAGGAGGATTGCCACAAATTCAAGACCAGCCTGGACTACATAGCAAGACATGTCTAGGGGTGGAAAAATTCGAGTTGCAGCTTTGACATAGTATCCCCCAAGTAGTCTTCCATCCCTGTTACTCTTACAGTGTGGCTTATAGTTTTGGGTTCTATTGTATGAATTTTGAAAATAGAGTAAAGTGATTCAAATTATAATTTTTAATAATTTCAGTATTCAGATCTCAGTTGCTTTATAAATTTTTTTCAGTTTTTTTTAACATTAGGATTCAAATTAGGTTTCCCCACTGTTGTTGGCTAATACATCTCTTTTATCAGCAGTAGAGTTGATATCTCTTTTTAGAATTTATTTGGCATCTCCCAGGTAAGCGTTTCCATACTATAGTTTGGTAATAGCATTATAGTAATGCTTTTGTTGATTATTTTTGTTTAATCTTTTGTTTATGTGTTTGACTTATTGCAAGTCTCATGTAGTTGAGGATGATCTTGAAATCCTGATCCTCCTGCCTCCTAAGTGCTGGGATTTGGGTCATGTACCATCATACCTGTATCTATATGTACTGTATTTCTTGAAAATTGAAAATGGTTGACCAAAACATTTGGGTGTTTTGTTTTGGGTGATTTGGGTGTTTTGTTGGTACAGATTTTTTACAAGTGCTGTTTTGTTTGACTATGGTGGTTTGAATACAAATGGCCTCCATATACTCATATATTTGAATTTCTGGTCCCTAGTTGGTGGAACTGTTTTAGGAAGGATCAGGAGGTGTCACACCAGATCCAGATTTGGGTTTTTGTCAGAAGACTTATAATACCTGATTGTCTTTGTGTTATTAATACTCAGCAATGTAACTAGTTGTCAACCAAATCCGTCCTTTTGTATATATATAGCTATATATGTCCTTATATAGCTTCCTTTTGTTTATCGTTTCAATATCCTTGATCCAAATTCATTGTAGGGTATGTATCACAGTGTCTATGTTGTGGTTTGAAAGGAGATAAACAAAGAGCCCAGTAAAGCATCTGTTATGGTGCTATAGACAGGGTGGTGCAAGTCTGGCTTTAGATTAGGAATGGCAGCAGAAGTGACAATACCACTGGGAGTTCCATAGGACAAGAACTGTTGGTAGATGGTGGGTGTGGACATGGGAGAGTGCGTTGGGGGTGTTCCCACATGTTGAGCTGGAGTAGCACAGATAGTATAGCACAGATAGTATAGCATAGATAGACACCATTGACCTCACTGCTGTGGGAAGACTTAAACATAGTATTGTGTAGTCATCGGTGTTAAACTGCAGATGCCTTTGACATTTCCATAGGGGATGATTTCCTCAGAGGACATGTCAAAGATAGTGGATACAGAGATTCGGAACTCAGAGGTGAGTACTGGAAATTTGTCAACATTTTGAGGATACTTGATATGTAGTATGGATGAAATGCTTTATAAAAGGTGTAGAGAGAAGACTTTTAGACATGCTGCCTGGGTTAAACAGGAATTGCCACCAGAAAAGATTGAATAGGGAGAACCTAGGGGACAGACAGAGGGGAGGTAATAGAGTGTCCTGTGAGTTTTCTTAGACATGAGTGGTGTTATAAGGCTTTTGCTCACTAACCTGTTGATAATTGAGCCATTAAATAATGACCATACTCATTGGTTCTCATTGACTATGCAAGAAGAATATAACAGCCCAGAAAACCAAAGTTCTATTGCTTGGTTGTTTTAATTAGAATAAGGAAGGATATAGTTTCAAGTGAAAGAGGAACTGTGGTATAAGAAACTAGTTAGTATGAAGTAAAGTGTATTTCTTGTGTGTAAATCCCTGGTATTGGGGTTCTTATTGAACTAGCTGTTTACTGAAGAAAACCTGCACAACGTTAATACTGTGTGGTTTTTGGCTTCGTCTTTTTGCCCTGTGAGATGGAACAACTTTTTGTGTTTTATGTGTATCTTAGACACAGTTTCTTTGGAGTACATGTATCTTAAACATTTAAAAACCATTTGAAATTGTGGCCTACCTTCAGTGAAAAAGAAAACAAGTGGTGTGTGTGTGTGTGTGTGTGTGTGTGTGTGTGTGTGTGTGTGTGTGTGTGTGTGTGTAGGGGAGGTTCCATTAAATTGTAGAAACTCACAAATCCCTATTGGAAACCCTGGGAAAGCAGGTATCCTGGCATATACCTGTAATTCCAGGATGTGGGGGGTGGAGGCAGGAAGATTATAAATTTGAGGCCAGCCTGGGATATATGGCAAGACCCAGTTTAAAAAAGAAGAAACCTTGGGGAGACGGTTGGTCCTATTTCATAAACTATGTAGCGACTCCTGCTAGGCCTAAGGCAGTAGTGCCCTGTAATCATGCATGTTGTTAATTTTTGTTAATGTATGCAGATTACAGTGAGTGGAATAAAAAGAACAATAGACTCATGGTTGCTTTATTATGTTTTGCCGTAAACTGAATTTAGGTTCAGGTTTTGCCACCAAATGAATTTAAAAGATAAACCCTGGGCAGCAGCTAAGATGTCTGGAAGTCTTGGCTCAAGAACCCTCAGGCTTGACAATTGCAGATGGAATACTAAAAGCTACAAGAACAGAATTTCAGAAGATAAAATACTGTATCCAACAATTCAGTGTGATGGAAGCAAAGTCAGTGTTCCAGAAAGTTCTTCCAAACAAGGGCAGTTGTCTGGATGATGAAACCACATTGGTATGGCATTATCCTAAATGTTTACCCTTAAAATCTCAGACTCTGGAAAAACTGAGGGAAATGCAGCAAGTAGTACCTGGTGTCTATGTAGCTCCTTTACTTCTTTATTTTATTTTTATTTTTGGATATGGGTCTTTTGTTGCATGTGTGTGTGCATCATGTGTGTGCAGTGCCTGTAGAGGCCCGAAGAGGGCATCAGATCCCCTGGAACTGGGTTACAGATGGTTGTCATCTGCTGTGTGGGTGCCGGAAATGGAATCCTGTTCCTCTGGAAGCATAGCAGTGCTCTTAACTGGTGAGCCATCTCTTCAGCCCCACCACAGGGTGTGTTTTGCCAGTAAAACATGCTAAGAAAAGAACAGTAACAAACAGCCCCCTGACTAATAGTTTACCACTTAGGGAACAGTCCTCCCTTACTTTCTACTTAATAACAACTAGAAAGTATTCTGTATTTGTATGCTGAAAGTATTCACTAGTAAAACTGAGCGTTTGTATCAAGAATTTTAAAACGTCCAAGACTGATGAAACTTGTCATCAAGCACTGGTTTGTATTAAACAGAGGTAGTCAAACTTTGAACCAAATTTTAAGGTATTTTCTTTTAAGGTTGTTTACAGTTGTGAACTATTCACCCTTCCATTGATATCAGTTTTATATAGTTACCAGAGACTAAATTCACCTTTACTATATAGATGGTCTTCTTTACATGTTTATTGAAAACCTAAACTTGAAGGTAAATTCCAATTCATGCATAATATTCTACCTCCCAAGTGCTGGGATCAAAGGTGTGCGCCACCACCACCCTTCTCAAAGCAAATTTTTAAAACCAATTTTAAGTATCATATGTTTAATGCTATCTAGCTTGACCAGTAATTGTCAGAACTGGTTTCTGATACAAATTTGACTATTAAGAAATTCATTCTGGCCAGGTGGTGACGGTGGCACACACCTTTAATCCCAGCACTCGGGAGACAGAGGCAAGTGGATCTCTGTGAGTTTGAGGCCAGCCTGGTCTACAGAGCCAGTGCCAGGACAGCCAGAGAAACCCTGTCTACACAGAGAAACCCTGTCTCAGAAAACAAAAACAAAACAAAAAGAAAGAAAGAAGAAAAACCACTCTAGTGGCAGAGGCAGGTAGATGTCTGTGAGTTCAAGAACAGTTTTGTTTACATAGTGAGTTCCAAGCCAGCCAAGTATACATACTAACACTGTCTCCAAAAAACGAAAGTGAGAAAAACAAAACAAAACCCTTCACCTATTCTGTAGTCCGTAGTCTACTAAGCTTTTAATTATGTTAATTTAAAGAACTGAAGAATCACATCAATGTCTTTTTCATCCCATAGGAAGCATAGTTTAAAATCTAAAACTGTTTGTTATATCTATATAACCCTAAGTAGCATGGACTTGAAGGAGTCCATGCAAGATATATGAACATTGATTTAGAGGTTTAAATCTGAAAAGACTGGATGAATCTTTTGAGTGCTGGACAGGAAATGTAAGTTTCCCTAACAGACGTAAAATAAAAATGAAAAGCCCAAAGCAAGTGTGTTTTCCCAAGCTTTCTTGACTTTGGGCATAGGAGCTGGCTTGTGAGTCAGCAGCACAGAGCTCCCCTGACCTCCACACATGCTGTTGAAGGTGGCAAAGGCAGACTGAGCTTCCTTCCCTACTTAGTCTGGTTCTCTCCTCTCCTTCTGTATTTCTTCCTCCAGTAGCTTATCTCTTCCTTCTCTCCTTCATCCCCTTCTGTTTGTGTCTCTTTCTCTTTCTGCCTCCACCCAGATAGAAGAACAAGTCAGTGTATTGTTTTCCTAAATCTTGTCCAAGCCACACAGCCTAACACTTACTAAATAATTCATTTTTCTTGCACTTTGGTTCAGCTAGTGTGGGGGGAGTTCATTTGGTTTTGCTTGTTTTTTATGAAGCCTTCAAGGAATTTAAGAGTTTTTTGGGGTTTGTTTTTGTTGTTATTTTGATTTTTGTTGTTGTTATTGTCTACTTTTAAGATTATTTTATTATGCAGTTTAGTAACCATAGTAGAGGCATACACTCAGTACAGATTTCCATATACCCACCTCCTAGATTTGTGAATGTTCATGGTTTGCCATAGTTTATGTAAGATTTTTTTGAGAAATAAAACTTTATTGCTATTTCTAGTTTACTCATTCTCTCTTATTTAAGTAATAAAACACAAACCAGTGTTTCTTATTTGTGAATGCTTTTTAAATAAGTTGTATAAGGAGCTTCTTCTAACTATAAAATTAACATTTTAAAAAAGAATTTATTCAAAACTTGTGGAACCAGATCCCATACTCCAGAATGGGCACCTTCCAATTCCCTTGAGTTTCTAGTCACTCCCTCCATGGCCTCTCTGTTTTCATGTCTTCCTCGCCCCTCTTGTCTCTTCTGTCACCTTCATCTTTGTTGATGTGTCCTATTTCCCTCTCCTGACCTTTTAAATCTCCCTCATAGAGACAGCACTATAGCTTCCTACCCTCTAGTCCTTTTTAACAACTTGAACTCACCAAGGAAATGCAGTATTTAAGCGTATCTATTCCTAGTAGTTGTTCACACTTGTTCAGTCTCTTCTTCCTTTCTTTTCCTCCACCTGCTGACTTCTCCTGTTCTCCTCTCCGACTTGACACCTTTTCCATCATGCAGATAGATAGCACGAAGGCATCCTGCTCTATTATTCTTGTCCTCTAATACCTTTTGGGTGTTCCTGGGAATTTTGTTTGTGCTCTGAACAGCCCACAGAAGTAGAATTTGAGTATCTGGCTCATTTACTGTACTGAAGCATTTGATTTGGTTCACTTGCCTGTCTCTGTCACTTACTCTCCCTTTCCCTCTCCCTCTCCTTCTCCTCTTCTACTCATCACCCCAATTTTATTCATTTACTTATCTTTTGCTCATGTGTAATGATGGTGATACTTGTGGTGGTGGAAGTGCCGTGTGCATTCGAGTGTGTGTGTGTGTATGTGTGTGTGTGTGTATGTGTATATGTGTGTGCGCGCGCGCGCACCCATGCACGGGTGCTGGTGAGCCCATGTGGGAGTGGGCTCAGAGCAGCCTTGGGTGTCAGTCCTCACCTTCCACATTGTGTTTTCCTGCTGCGTAAGACAGGCTAGCTGCCACAGAAGCACCTCTCATTTCCCTATAGGAGCCCGGAGGGGGGGGAGGGGGTCACAAATGTCTACGATGTCTCACCCAGTTCTATGTGGCGAGGTCCTACCCTTGTGTAGTGTGTACTTTACTCATCGAGCCATCTCCCAGTCCCTGGTGGTTCTCTTAAAAAAATAGACAATAGGAAAATAAGGGCTGCCTTGTGGTTGGTTCCCTTTAGCCTTAAGAGTTTGTCATTTGGTATTCTAACTTCTGCTTGCATGTCATGTGAGTTTGGATCTGTTCTTTTTACCTCACAATAGAGTAGAAGCTCTGAAGTACTGGTAGTTTTGTTTTCTTTTTGTCAAACATTGGTTGCTTTTAAGACTTTTAAAAATCAGGCATTTTATCCCGTGAGCGTAGCAGTGGTTTGTGCACATGAGTGCAGCTGCCTGTGGAGACCAGAAGAGTGGTTTGGATCCTCTGGAGCTGGACCCGTGGGTGGTTGTGGGCTGCCTGGTGTTGGTACTGGGAACTGAACTTGGGTTCTCATGCAAGAGCAGTAAGCACTCTTAACTGCTGACTCATCTCTTCAGCCCTTTAATGTCGTTTTTGTTTTTAAATTTATTTTTGAGCATGTTTAACTGGATGTTGAGAGCCTCCTTTGTATGTGAAGAAGTTACCTGAGCATGTTGTGGTTAAGTGTGTAGTCCAGGTAAAACACTTTGCTAAGTTTCAATAGAGAGTTCACCTTTTCCTCAAAATCATACAATTCAGATTTCAGCCTTAATCCTTAGGAGGGTTTTGCTCCAAGAATGAGCTCTTGTATTCTATCTACATAGATCTAATTTATAACATGAATCAAGTAGACTAAATGTGCCCGTAGCCTTCCTTTCCTTTGATGTGTTCAGTTTTGACTGAAGTTGGTAACCAGGCTGTTTTCTAGTTGTCCTGTTCTGCATCCATAAGTGCCATTGTTGTATGGTGTTGGTTCCTAGACTTGCTCTGATGCAGTTTTACGTTTGTTGGATTTGTGTAAACAATTGTACAAAAAATGATTTCTCTGTGTTTTATGTGTATGGGTGTTTGTGCATCATATACATGCAGGGCCTGGGGGTGCTAGAAGAGGGGCTGGACCTGCAGTTACAGCCTCGGTGTGGGTGCTGGGAGATGAACCCTGGTCCTCTGGAAGAGCAGCCTGCTCTCCTAACTTCTAAACCATTTCTCTACTTCCCTTCTTTATATAGTTTTAAACTGAAGAAAAACATTTCAGGTTATATGTAGGGGACAGTAAGCCGTGCCTGTTAGAGGCTGGCTACAGGTGTGCGCCAGGTGATGGGAAAGCTTGTAGGTTCAAGATACCTTTATTCAGATAAATACCAGCCAAAGGGTGCCAGGGGCAGCCGAGCAGTGAGGCCAGGGAGAAGTGGAAGGAGAAGGGGCTTCCATGCGCTCTGTGGTCCCTTAAGAGCCTATGCGTGTCATCCTGACCTCACCTTGACCACGCCTTGACAGGCGTGGTCAGGCACACCTGTAGCCAGTCTCTAACAGGTGTGGCTTACTGTCCCCTACACTTATACCTTCCCCCTCCCCGAAATTATTTTAAAAGTTCACTTCTTCTAACTGGTCAGCAAGACAAATTTATTCAGTGACCATTCATGCCTAATTGCTATTGCACTAATGGTCAATGGAATGAAAAAGAAAACCCAACTTTGAAGTTCACTGCTTCAAAGAATAACAGACTTCAATTATTTTATAATACAAAAATGGTTCTTGGTACTTTAATACACAGGAAGTTGAATTTACCTATCTAGCACAAAAAATAATTTTCACTCTGTAGACCAGGTTGGCTTCAAACTCACAGAGATCCGCCTGCCTCTGCCTCCCAAGTGCTGGAATCAAAGGTGTGTGCCACTAACGCCTGGCATTGTTTTTCTTTTTTTAAAATTATTTTAATTATTATTATTATTATTAATTTAAATTACTCTTCTTTTAGTTTTTACCCTAGACCAGGGATTGGCAGATTGTTGCTTTTGGACCAGTCTTAGTTGTCCTCTTTTATTTTATTTTATTTTATTTTATTTTACGTGATACTGAAATATAGCTGTACCTATTTATTTATAGATTGTGGGTTCTTTTGTTGTTGTCATGTCATAATTGAGCAATTGCACAAAAGGACATTTGTATATAGATTTCAAGACTATATTTGCCATGTGGCCTTTTTATTAAAAAGAAAATCTACCAACCTCTGAGTGGCTCACACATGATTGTTAGGAGCTCTTAAATAGCAGCATATCAGGCTGCATCCTTACAATTTCTGATGCAGTGTGGGTTCATACCCAAGAGTTGACATTTTAGGGGACTGGCAAGATGGCTCAGCAGGTAAAGGTGCTGCCATGCCTGATGTCCTGAGTTCAGTCCCCTGGACCAGCTTCATAGAAAAAGAGAATTAACTCCTGAAGGAGTCACTCCTCTGACCTCCACATGAATGCTTGGCACATGGGTGCACAAAACAAACAAGTGTTATAATACTCCAGGTGATTCTGAGCCTTGTCTGAAAACCACATTTGAGGAGCACTGCCATAGTTATTGCTAAATGCATCTTTGATTTCCTGTGATCTCAGATAAATTATATGTTGAATATCCCTTATCTGAATTGCTTGGGACCAAGAGTGTTTGTTTCAGATTTTGGGTCTTTTCTCTGTGTTTGGAATATTTGTATGAGTCTACTTATACTTAGCTGAATATCCCTAATCCCCAAATTCAAAATACAAAATGGTTTCAGATCTGAAACAGCATTCTGTTAACAAAAAGCATGGAATTGTGGAATTTATTTTAAGATGCTTGACCTGTGGTCTGTATACTACTTGCCAATAAGGTTGAAATCCATAGAACCTGTTGCTTTTCTCTCAAGAACACAGCTTTATAGTAACTGCAAACTGAACAGCTCACATGTCTGTGAGCCATGGAATGGGCATCAGTTAGCTGTGATACTTCATACACCAGACCTATAAGCAACAAAGTGAACAAAGCAATCTTCCAATACTATTTTCCTATCTAGTGAAGAGACGCTAGAGGCCACAGCAGATATATACTTCTTTTTTTTTTCAAGATAGGGTTTCTCTTCTTGGAGCCTATCCTGGCACTCGCTCTGGAGACCAGGCTGGCCTCGAACTCAGAGATCCGCCTGCCTCTGCCTCTGCCTCCCAAGTGCTGGGATTAAAGGCGTGCGCCACCAACGCCCAGCTGATATTCTACTTCTTTACTGTTATATGGGGGTTCCAAACTGACTGGCTAAGTTTAGGGGTTTGGAGAGGGCTTAGAAGACACGGGATGAGGGTAATCTTTGCATCTAGGTACTGATTTGACTGACATTCTTTTTGTGAAAATTTAGTATGTGTTTCTTGGGACATGTATGCTTAGCTTTGTTAACAAAGTTTATTTTTTAAAAAATCCTAGTAGCTTGAGGATGTTAAGAGTTAATTTTTTTCTTTAATGGAAGGGACACTTATCTTTTCAGTTCTTGTGTGTATAGGAAGGGAACACCGTTTCCATGGCAACTTCTGCCTCCTCTGTTTCAGTGCCTGACTTTCTGTAGATTTGTCTGTTCTGTCTTTTGTGTGTGTGTGTGTGTGTGTGTGTGTGTGTGTGTGTGTGTGTGTGTGTGTGTGTGTGAATATAATGATGGACCAAGAAGTTTATTTTGAAATTTTTTGGTGTACTTAACACAGTAATATATTTAAAGCACAAGTTTTAAGCTCATTAACTTCTCTGCACTGGCTCCCTAATTTTATGTTATGGTACAATAATGTTGTATTTAAACTAGATGATTTTGGCATGCAGGGAGGAGGAGTGGGGGAGTAGAAGTGATGTTAGCCAAACACTTGCTGAAATGGAACATGATTTTAGATCATTTATTTTTTTCCTAATAAACAGTCTTAACCTTTGTTGGGGGTCTTCTTTTCTTTGCCCCTATCTAATAGCTGCACTGGTGGTATAACTTTATGGAGATCAGTTATTCTGGATGAGGGGGCATCTGTATGGTGAAAACGGGAGGGACAGGAAGAAGATTCAGACATGGGTCTGAAGCTCATGGTAAATCTGCTTCTCTGCCTCACCCATCTTGTTTGTCAGGACTGGTTTGTGCAGGGTCCTAGAGAAGACCGTTTCTCAGCAGAGTCCAAGGCATTTGTCTTGAGATTGGGGGAGGGAGGAGTTGGTTGGAGGCTGGTGAGCTTGTATGTGAGATGATAGCAGTGTGGCTGTGAATATTCCAGAAGGGGACTGTAGAACTCCCGAGAGTCACTTAAGAGAAGAGACTGTTGGGTTTCATTTCTGTCACTACGTAGGCAGCACATTGTGAGGCTACAGACAGTTAATTATGTACAGCAGTGAGCCCTGCTGTTCTCGGGCTTTCCCGATGCAGTAGCATACAGCACAGTGATTCTTACCTAAAACCTAATGTCCTAATCCATACAAATGTATGATTTTCATGCGTATTAAGAGAAATCAAATCTAGATTTATAAGCCTTTGGTATGAAATGCTTTTATATTTTTGATAAAGAATACATTATAAGTACATAGAGGATTTTTTAGATGCGTGGAGAATTTTTACCTTCCATCTAGCAGTAGCTGCCATAAGATGATGTCACCTTGCAGCTGATTGGCTGTTGCAGCACCTAGGGCAGGGAAGAGAAAGAAAAATGCCGGCACAAACCTCAGTGGTGGTTCTGTGGTTGTTTCTATCTATTTTTGATAGAATCTTTGATTAGTATCAAATTGACTGTATTTGGCCATGTGAACTATTAGGAGATATTCTAGGGTGAGGGAAATTCGGAGGAATGAGGCGGCTGATTTGCAAACGGATCTGTGATTGTAAGTTGCAGAAATCTGGGCATAGGAATAAGGCAGGGCGTGCTTGAAGATTGACTATGGGAGGGGCTGGCAGAAAATGCTTATATGAGCATCGAAAAAGAGAGATGCTTTGGCCACTCTAAAGTTGATATGTTTGCTTTAATGTTTTGACTTGTATGTGTAGGAAATGTGACAATATGGTATTTTTGTTTTAAATCACAGGGGTTATTTTGTAAAGTGTTAACTAATATATAAATGTTTATTCAAAGGATCTTTATTTTTTATTTTGTATCCTACCTAAATAATAGTTTTTATTTGTAGCTCTATTTTATTTTTGCGTCTTAATGGAAAATGGAAAAAGCTTAGCTTCCTTAAGTGTCTGTTTTCCTTATGCTTTGTGCAGATAAAAGCTTTGATGATGAGGAGTCAGTGGATGGAAACAGGCCGTCATCAGCTGCTTCAGCCTTCAAGGTTCCTGCACCTAAAACATGTGGGAATCCTGTCAGCAGTGGGAGGAAGCCTGGGTCAGCAGGTGGCCCTAAGGTCGGAGGTAATGCAAATCATTTCAGGTCTGTGTGCATGCTTCATGCATCTCCATGCTCTGTGCTTCAGAGCAGTGTGTTCATTTGTGACTGCAGCAGAAATGCAGGTGTCTAGAGAGAGTGTTGCAACATGCAAAGTATGTTGCCTTTTAGAAATGAATATTACAAATTGTTACTTCCAGAAAGAACATGTATGAATTTGTGTTTTTTTAAAGGTACTTATTTTTAAGGAAAGATTCAAAGTAGCTTTGGCATGTGTCTTTTAAAGGGAGTGGTATTTCAGGATTGGGCCCTTTTTGGGTAGTGTAGCTGTGTTTTGAAAACCAGAAATATAGAATGGATTTTCACAATTGTCTAGGTATAGTAAATTGAATACTCGAACATTTAAAATGGTTGAAGATACTGGGTCCTGAATAATTTGTCACAATAGGAATTGGGTGGCGGTCAAGTAAAACTGCCTCAAAAAATGGTTTCTGGATTCAATAATAATAAATAAATAAAATGGGAGAAAACAGGTTTTTTAATGCAATTATGCAGCATATCCTTGAACTTTTTAGAAATGTTTCTAGCATATTTCTAATATATTTTTCATATTAGGATCCATATCTCCTAGGTGTGAGTTTCTGCTGGATCTGTCTGATAGAATGAGTCTGTAAGAACAAATACCTATTTGAATGCTAGAGGTCACTAATCTCTCTTAAACACACAAAACGTGTGCCTTGGTTATGTCTTGTTTACAGTAACTGGTATGGAAATCAAGGTTTTGAAGAATTTTTTTTGTGTGTGTGTTTTATCTTTTTGTCTGTGGTACCATGATTAACAACAAAAAAATGAAAGGAAAATAAAAACTACATGTCTACTAGGTTGGTTCCATTTCAGCACAACCAAACCAAGTCATGTGATTCAGAATGTAGGGATGCTATTGGGGGTGTTTATCTTTTGGTCTGTTTTTTTTTTTTTTTTTTTAATGAATGGGTGTCTCTGTGTTGCCCTGGCTGGCTGTGTAGACCAGGCTACCCTCAGACTCCCAGAGATCACCTGTCTCTGCTTCTGCTGGAATTAAAGATGTATGCCACTATGCATAACTCATTTTAACTTTCTTTAACTCTTATATATCATACAATTATAAAGAAAGAATTTTAACTATTTTCATTTTGTTTTGCCATCAAGAAATGTGTTCTGCAGGGATAGTTACAGCACTGGCACATGGTGCTCTCCAGTGAGACCCTTTCGTTATTTTTTGGTTTCTTCTGTAGCAAATAGCTGTGCTCAGTCATTACAAGGGGAATGAATTTCTTGATTTTTAATTACAAAACTCTAACTTGTGATAATTTCACAAAACCCTTACTAAAAATAGACTAGTGTTTGGAATATATGACATAATGCTTAACATTTTTATTAATCTTGACTAGTGGTTTATAATTAGTCTGGTTTATAAGTTAGTTCTGGAATAAAATTTGAGATACTAATTTACTTATCACATGGTTCTCTGATAGTACCATAACTATGATTCGCTTGAAAAAATTTGAGAAAGTTTTTCTTGAAGGACTAACTTAATCTCTGTTGGTCTGCAGTTGGTAGTTTGTAGTCTTTGCAAATAGGAAAATGTTAGGTAGGGATCATCCTAGACAGTGGCTCTTTTGATAAAAATTAGAGACCTTGCCATTTCCCCTGCTTAGAGTCTTCTCTTCTTTCTCCTCCTCTTCCTTTCCAGCAATTGCAGATTCCCTCTTGTTTCTTTTGTTGGTCCCTGCCTACTTGATCACCTGTTTGGTCATGGGCTCTTTAAGATTGTGTTTCCCTTTGTAGCCCAAGCTGACCTCTACATCCCAATTCCATGTGCTGGACTTACAAGCACATGCCATCCATCATGCCAGGCTTCCACTGCCTGTTTTTCTGTCTAGGAAACAAGCTACTAGCCAGAGGATATTGATAGTGTTTCTGAAATTAATGCCATTCTTGGCTATTGGTCTTTCTTTGAAAACTTAATGAAGATGTTCTAGTGTTGGCAGACGTATTGATTTTTAAATTAGCTACCAGGAGTTTTCTTACAGTTACTGCAGCATCTTTGTATTGGACGGACCTGCCTCACAGAACTCCTAATAGTATCCTTTGGTGGTCAACTACCGTGTGATGAAAGGACCAGCTCTGTAGACAGTCAAGAGCAGCAGTGTGCACTAGCTCTCGTGAGGGAATGACTTCTTTTTACTTATTTCTACACATACCAGTGTTTTCTTGAGAAGACAAAGTTGGCACTGTTTGTATTGTATCATCTTATATACCTTTTTCCCACCCGTTATTTTACCGTGTTTTATCATGGTCTTAAATTAGTTAAAAATTATTCCAGTCTAGATATTTGGATTGCATTTTTTCTGCTGTTATAAACCATGCAGTCATTCTTTCATGTGTATCTTTGAACATATGTCAGTTGTCCTCCTATGACAAAGTTTTTTTATTGTTGTATTCTGATAGCTTCTTTTTTTACTTTTTAAAATTAATTCATTTATTTAGTTAATGTGTGTGTTGGTGTTTTGACTGCATGTACATCTGTGTGAGGGTGTTGGATCCCCTGGAACTGTTACAGACAGGTGTGAGCTGCCATGTGGGTGCTGGGTATTGAACCCAGGACTTCTGGAAGAGCAGTCAGTTATCTTAACTGCTGACCCATCTCTCCAGCCCCAGTTATTGTCCTCCACCCCCCCCCTTTTTAGTGGCCTTATGCCATGCAAGTGTCCTATTACTGAGGCATCTCCACCATGCCTTTGGTTTTTGAGGGCAATAGAACTAAATGACTTCTGCCAAACCAAAAAAAAAAAAAAAAAAAAAAAAAAAAAAAAAACTGTGAATGAATGTAACTATCAATAGTCTTTCCATTTACCTCAGGCATCTTCAGTTTAGCATTAAGCCCATTCTGTAGCCCAAGCTGGCTGGCTGGCTTTGAACTTTGTATCCTCCTGCCTCAGCATCCTGAAAGCTAGGATTATAGGTGTGTGCCACTGGTTTGACTCTTTGGAATGAGTTTCTGAAGCTCACGTTATGAGAAGATGAGGGGATTTTAAGGGTTCTTAAATTTGGCAGTGTTCTCCAAAGGCATCCTAAATCTAGTTCTGGATAAGGCAGTTTTTGAAGGATGCATATCTTCTTGCTCTCTTGATCTCCCTCTTTTCTCTCCCCTCCCACACCTCTTCTGAAGTATTGCTTATATTCTTTTCATTGAAGAGCTTTAATACTTCGTTATCTTAATTTTACTGATGAACAGATTGTAGTTTGGAGAAATTAAGTAACTTGTCTAGGGTAGAATTTCTAATAAGGAGCAAAGTAAAAAGTCACCTTGCTGTTGATGCCACGCTCATCCATGTTGATAAATGAGTAGGGTTTGCTGGTTCTGGGCTCCAAAGTTCAGCAATGCTCAGCAGCTGTGTCAGATTAGAGCTTAGCTAGTGGGACTCCAGCAGACAGTCCGAAAACCTGTGACTTTTACATTGTAAATGTAAAGACTTCCATATTTTCCTGTTGAAATTTGGCCTTCTTTGGTATATTTTAGTTTGGGGTTGTTTCTTTTTAATGGTTGCCTGGAGGCCAGGCTAGCCACCAACTTGTTATGTAGCCAAGGCTGACCTTGAGGGCCTGATCTTCTTGCATGCATTACTATGCCTTGCTTTGAGATTGCCTTCAGAGTTTGTTTTCTGAGTTATAGTAGCTCTATTCCTGTACCAGCTGTTTTGATACTATTTGTTTTTTTAAAATAAGAGAAGAATTGGAAGAAGTGGTGTAATTTCATTGTTTATAATTAGTATTAGATTTTTGAGGTTAGTAATTTGTCACATCGGCACACTACTGAACAAATCCTGTTTTCAAAAGTTCTTTGCCTTTTCTTTTTTGTCACTCATTTAGGTGAACCAAGTATCTTCTTTCCTTCCTTCCTTCCTTCCTTTCTTTCTTTCTTTCTTTCTTTCTTTCTTTCTTTCTTTCTTTTTCTTTCTTTTTTAAGAGTTACTTATTATATCCACAGTGTTCTGCCTGTATGTATGCCTGCAGGCCAGAAGAGAGCACTGGATCTCATTACAGATGGTTGTGAGCCACCATGTGTTTGCTGGGAATTGAACTCAGGACCTCTGGAAGAACAGCCAGTGCTCTTAACCTCTGAGCCATCTCTCCAGCCCCAAGAGTTCTCTTTCTGTTGTTTCCCTTTAATATCAAGACTACTTTGAAATTGCTTTAGCCAGACAACCTCATCACTTCGTGGTAAAAGTCCACCCTGAGTGAGACAGCAGGTCAAGGCCAGCCTGGAGCTGCCTTCTCAGTAAGTAAGTAATAGTGTCAGCGTTAGTTATTAGTCAGCATCTCATAGTCAGTAGTGCCTGCTCAGTTCTCAGCTTCCTTTATTTATATCTGGCCTGAGATTTATTTTATTTATTTACTCATTTTTTAAAGTAATTTCTAAACGCTCACTTTCTTTTTTGTTTGTTTGTTTTTGTTTTTCGAGACAGGGTTTCTCTGTGGCTTTGGAGGCTGTCCTGGAACTAGCTCTTGTAGACCAGGCTGGTCTTGAACTCACAGAGATCGGCCTGCCTCTGCCTCCGGAGTACTGGGATTAAAGGCGTGCGCCACCAATGCCTGGCTAAACACTCACATTCTACAGATGATGCTAATCATACCCATTCCCCAGCATACAAGGAAGAGAGTTGCTCTTTCTTTTAAATAAATAAGCACGGCAAGAATCACACACATTTAATCTGCAAGTATTTGTTGCTGGCTGTGATGCAGAGTTTTACCAGTGGATCCCCGTCTCCTTGTGGTGTGGCTCAGTTGGTGGAGTACTTGCTTCACATGCATGAACATCATATACACTTGATGAACTCTGTTCTGTACCGCTGGCACTCAGAAGTTCAAGCTACATAGCAAGTTTCAAGCCAGACTGGGCTGAGATCCTGTTGACAAAAGAAATAACCAATAGAAAACTCAAATAACATTTCCGTATATATACTTTAGTTTTATTTTCCTTCCC